TATTAAATGGGGGTTTGTACATGTATGCAACACATTAATTCTTTTTATTTCCTCTTTCCCTCCCCTCTACCATCCCATCCCTGGTCCTCTTTCCATTGGCAAAGACCAGTCGCCCTATTTCCTATTACTGTATCTATCTTTTATTTTGCCCTTTAAATTATTCTTACTTTGGGCTTCTCATAAGGGAACCCATGCAACATTTAAGCGTGTGTGTCTGATTCATTTCATTTCACGTTACCACAGAAAGACTCCAGTTACTATGATGGCTATTCCACTGGCCAACGTTGGACCTTAGGAAGAATTGATACGTGGTGAATAAACAGGAATATCTGTTACCTGGGTTCCAACCATGCAGAGCTGAGTCCAGTACTGTCCTCCCAGGAGCACCACGCTGCTCGCCCTCAAATTGCTTCTCAGGCTTGTTTTTGTCCTGGCACACCTGCCTGCAGGAATGAGGAGCACTGTGTCCCTGTTTGCTTTCATTATCTTTCCAATCACCCACGTGGCTTTGTCCCACAAATCCTTCCATTACACATGGCTAAGTTGTTTGGAAATATTATAGCCAGTCAGACAGGACTGGGCTCAAGAGAGAATCAATGCGGAGGGAAGATAAGAACATACTATAACTGTGGCTGGAGGCCCTTCACTGAAGGTCAGACTTCAGGACAAAGAGAAATGACTACACCCACATTCATCCCCTAGGGATGAACAGCAGTGATTGATATTCTAAACAGGCATCAGTCACCTTGGGTGGAGGACCAAAACCTCCCCGGCGCCTTCCTTCCCGGAAAGTCCTCCTTCAGTCCTTGTAAGCTTGCCACAGGACTTGCTTCTCTATTTGATCCCCGTTGAATCAATATTACCTAAGCGACTATACTTGTAATCTTATTGGCTGACCATAGTTTTGTCCCACCTCATACCCATTTTGTCATTTCCCATTGGATCAATGTAACATAAGCAACTGTATTTGTAATCTTAATAGTTAACTATAGTTTTAGCCCACCTTACACCCACCTCACCTTGTGGTTTTACGCTATAAAACTCTCTCGAGAAGTGGAATCAGGGCCCACTTTTGTCCCTCTTAGAAGCTTTCTTTCTCTCAAAAATACTTCCTACTCAACCTCCATTGTTCCTAGAATTCATTCTTTGATTTTAAAGAACATGAACTCAAGTATCAAACATTTAGTAGATCAGGAGTTATATTTCCCTTATATTACTTGTACTGTTCAGAAGTTCTACTTTTTTTTTTTTTTTTTTTGGTACCGGGCATTGAACTCATGAACCCAGGCTTGCCAGGTAAGCACTTATGCCGCTGAGCTATATCCCCGGCTCTGCTTGGAGGTTCTATATCATCCCTATATCATATGCCCTATATCATTTCTTTTACTTTTTTTTTTTTTTTTGTCTTTTTGAGACAGGGTCTCACTATGCAGTTCAGGCTGATCTTGAGCTCACTTTGTAGCTCAGGCTGGCCTCGAACTCGCAATGATCCTCCTGCCTCAGCCTCCCAAGTGCTGGGATTACAGGCGTGCGCCACCATGACCGGCAAAGCTACAGAATACCTCAACAAGGACATACCAACGAGGATGGGATTCGAACCCACACATGCAGAGCACAATGGATTAGCAGTCTATCGCCTTAACCACTTGGCCACCTCAAGAGATTTTTTGTGTTTTTTTGGTAGCAGGAATCGAACTCAGGACCTTGTGCTTGCCAGACAGGCACTTGTACCACTGAGCTATAGCCCCAGTCTTTTTTTTTTTTTTTTTCCTGCCTGTACCCGGAATCAAACTGACGACGTTGCGCTTGCCAGGCAGGTGCTGTGCCACTGAGCTAAATCCCTAGCTCACTTCATTTATTACATTCCCCTGGCCTTTTTTTTTTTTTTTTTTTCCAGAGCTCTTAGGGTTGTGTGTGTTTAGATTTGCTCTCCTAGTGAGCACCAACCTGGAATTAGAATAGTGCGTTTAATTCCAAAGCCTGAGAACCACAGGGATTCTGAGCAGCAGCGTGGTTGGAGAAGGGGACTCTGAAGAGAAGGCAGGAGGAGAAGAGAAGCTGAACGTAAATGTCATCCCTCTGAGTGATTCTGCCCAGCCCCAAGCCTGCAAACAAGAGAAAGTCCTGCGATAAGCAGAGCAGACCGGAAGCTGGGGAAGGTCCCTGCCTTTCCCAGCGCTCGGAGAGACGGAACAAACAGGACTGTTTACTCTGTGGAACGTTTTGCTTATGTAAGTGGAAGGCTTCACCTGCGTTTGAAAAGAAAGAACTGCGCACTTAGCAAGAATAAGAACAGCGTGCTCCCACAGACTGAGGCGGGAGAAGGAGGGATGTGGCTTAAGGACCAGACAGTAGCCCCGGGGGCTGGGGAGTTAGCTCAGGGGCACAGCGCCTGCCTGGCAAGCGCAAGGTCGTGAGTTCAATTCCTGGCACCGGAAAAAAAGACAAAGACAGTAGCCCTGTGGAGTGACCTTCAAATCTGGGTAGGTCAGATCACACTGCCTCAGAAGCGTGTGTTTGTACACATAAAATATTTCACACCATCCTCACCCACTTGCCCTTCACCAGTTTGGGCAAAGGCTGCTCTCTGATGAGTTCAAGTCAGGCTGTGCATAGCCCGTCTCCTTTACTTTGGGAATGTTCACTCACCTACGGGAGACCTTTACTGTCTAACTCAAGAAATGCTTGAGAGCTGTGTTTATCTGTGACGCCTGGTGAATTAATCATCCTTGTTGAGGATAAATACCTGGGCAATGTGGTGGTTCTAACCAGTCTGAGCTACTTGAGTCAGGAATTGGCAAACTACAGCTGTGGGTCTTTCCTGTTTGATATGACCTATTGGCTAAGGATGGCCTTCACATGGTTAAATGGCTGGGAAAAAATCAGCCACCAAATACTACTTTGTGATACATGAAAATTATATGGATGTCATATTTCAGTCTCTGTAAACGAAGTTTTATTTATGGATTGTCTCTGA